GCTGGCCCCAGCTCTGTGGGCTCTGGGCTCAGGGTCAGGTCAAGGGGCGGGGGACCAGGCTCCTCCCCACTTAGGGCTTTCACATCTCTTTTTGGAAACATTCCCCCCTTGCCGAACTTCTTTTTTTTATTTAATATTTACTTTTTAGTTACAGGGATATTGACACGATATCTTTTTTTTTCTTTTTTTACTTTTATGTGGTGCTGAGGATCGAACCCAGTGGCTCACACAGGTGAGGCGGGCGCTCTACCGCTCAGCCACCCCCCCAGCCCCCAGTTAATCTTTTGGGTTTCTGATTAAATGTTGCTTCCCCAAGGGAAGCTGCTATGGTCCAAATGTGTCCCCAAAGTTCAAGGGTTGGAACCTTTGGCAGGTGATGAGGTTCTGAGGCTCCGTCCCCCACCGCTGGGGGACTGGGAGCTGTGGAGGGAGCGGGCACCCCAGTGGCTTGGTCCACCTCTCTTGCGCGTGCTCTCCTGCCTGTCCACCTTCAGCCAAGAGATGTGTGACACTGGGCTTCAGGCTGTCCCCCCAGCCTGCTAGACTGGTCACGAGCCAGGACAGCATCCATGCGTGCCCAGGGGACAGGCTGGCCTCTCCTAGCCCTGCTCTCTCTGCTGCTCTGGCCCGGTGCAGGAAGCCTGGGTGCCCGAGCTCCCGGGCGGCCTCACCTTCTCCTTGGCTGACTTGCGGGTGTCCTCGTCCATCCACTTCAGCGTGCTCAGGCTCTCCTCAAAGGCCTTCTTGATCTCCAGGATTATCTCGCTGGCCTGAGGAGACAGGGGTGCACCCTCAGCTCTGGGCACTGGCCCCCTGGAGGCAGCCAGTGCCCCAGGCAGGATGACACTGGACCCGAGGCCAAACTGAGGTGGGCTCAAGGCCTCGGGTTCTGCAGAGCGGGCTGAGAGGGGGGCCACGGCTGTGCTTCCAGACCACGCTCCTAACGTGGACATCCCGCGGGACGAGACGGGCCTTCCGCGCACTGGTCTCTGTGGTCGAATGAGCTTGGATGTGCCTTGGGGAAGCAGAAAGGTCCGCAGCAGGAATTTTCGGAGCCTTTAGCATGGCGGAGTGCTCTTTTGGAGCTTTCCAGAAGACACGGCCTCCCCCAGGCTGATGGGGTCCTTTTTGATGGAATAGAGCTTTAACACCCAGAGAACCTGATCTGAGGAGCACTCAGAAAGGCCACACCCGGGGCGCAAATGGCAGCTGTTGGGGGTGACGATGCACGGGCAGCCCCGGGGGCCAAAGATAGAAGATGGAAGGATTCTGGGGAAGGGGAAGGCAAGAGCCGTGGGGCTGGGCCCAGACAGACCTGGACTCAGATTCTGCCTCAGCAGATGTGATAAACAATCGCTGCCACTGACTGTAGCGTATTTTGGGCCAGGGGTTCTTTACGTGTCGCATCTTATTTTGTTATGGCCAGGCTGTGTGGGCAATGACCACACAGACTCCATTTTGCCCTGAGACTCCGCATCATGTAAGAAACGCTTCTCCTATGGAAAAGCTCCGCCTCTGCACCCATCAGCGAGCGGTTGCCTAGCACAGCACGTTAGGCGACACAGATGGCAATTCTTATACAACGTAAAAGTGTCCCCTCTTCAGTTCCCATTTTTCTTGGACAATCTACCCTGTCAGAGGTGGACTGTCTAGATGTTAGTAGCCATTCTTTAACTTGTCCTCGACTAGGGACGTTTTGGCCCACCCTCTTTACTGCTTATGATTTTAGATCTTATGATGTTTATTTATGGTTTTGAATCATAGCAACAGCCACTTATGCGTTAATATGGTTTTGGACTACGAAAGGTGTGCTCAAACCCTGGGAGGGGTGGAAGGGTGTGGACTAGCAGCCTGGCCCTTGACCTGTCTCTTGCTTTAAGATCCACTTGGTGATTTATTGCAATCTCACCTTAACAATGTAACACCCCTCTGCAGACGGGACAGCCCCACTTTCATGTCCCAGGTGAGGGGAGAACACGGCTCAAGTCGCCCAGCCAAGTGACGGAGCCAGAATCTGAGCTGGGGGCTGGCTGTCTCCCCAGCACTCAGCCATGATGGTCCTCTACCTGCCCGAATAATTCTGTCACCCTCAGAGTAAGAAAAATGTCACTTCCAGGTCAACATTACCTGGTGGGGTCCTTCACAGCCCCAGGAGGTGGAGATGGCTGTGGTAGCCTCATGGGGTCACTGGGAAGATCAAATTAAATAACACAAACAACTGGCCTGGCCCTCAACCAAGGAAGTCATTTAGTAAGTCACGCCCTGCAGCCTGAGAAGACGGCCTCTGAGTTAGGCCCCAGGATCCTGTGGCCTGGAGCAGGAAAGGCCCAGGGCAGAGCAGAGCGTGGGCTGTCAGGCTGGGGGCGGGGGCAGCAGATGCGACGCCCACTCTGTCCACAGGGGAGGTACTTACTATGTTCTTGCTGTCCTCGGCGAAGGTCGCTTTGACAAACATGGGGCCCAGGGCAAAGCCCAGGTTGTTTTCCGTGTCACTCACGCAAAACTTCCAGCGAGGAAGGCAGGTCTGGAAAACACGAGTGCAGAGGGTCACTGGGCCCAGTCCTCCTTCTCCCAAGGCCTGGCTGGGAGGTGGCGCCATCGGGGGCCTGTGCTTCCCCCCAGAACTCCAGGGAGACAGACCTCTTCTGGTCGAAGAAATTACTTTAGGCCACAGACACCCCTCTTGGCCACCACCTACTGTCTCCTGAGTACCAGCCTCTGTGCTTGGCCCTTCACGAAGGTCTGCCACTGAGCACCCCTAGCGGGCAGGGATGGGCCACTGGACAGACAGGAAGCAGAAATTCAGTAAGGGAAGTCACTGGTCCAGTAGGTGACAGTGGGTAGGGTGCCAGAGGGATGGGAACTCTGACATGCCTGGTCCTCCATCCGGGGCTCCCGCCAACTCCACCTGGTCCTGCCTCCTGGAGGACACAAGGAATCTTGGAGGCGCAGAACCTCGGGAAGCTGCCCGCCCACCTGAGCAACGGGAACCTTCCCAGAAGGCCAGGGGCCCAGCCCCTTTACAGCCTCCTAGAGAGAGAAGGCCACAGTGACATCACAAAACTTCAATGTCGGCTTTTTTTTAATGTGCTAAGGATGCCAGGCAGTGCCTCACCACTGAGCCGCACGCCCACCCCAACCCCAGCTCTTTGCTTGTATTTTGAGAAAGGGTTTTCACAACGCTCATTGCCCGGACTGGCCTTGAATTTGCGATCCTCCTGCCTCAGCCTCCCCAGCAGCTTGGATCACAGGTGTGTCCCTGCGCCGGGCTTAGGTTCTTCCTCAGTCTCACCCACAAGCAGTGCTGGCCCACAGGACGCCTCAGTAGGAACCAGAAATGGTCCTTGGGCTGCAGCTCCCCAGAGCATGGGCTGATAAAGAGCACCGGGAGGGTTTCAGACTCGCTGTCCCCCTGCCCGGCCATCCCTCCGTGGACAGTGTGAATGACCAGGTGTGATGACCCTGCTTATGGAAACTGGTCCGGCTGCAGGGTCCTCTTAACCCCGAGGAACAGGCGTGACAACCGGCTCGGGGCAGCCTGCTTCACACCAGCCCTACTGCGAACAACCCAAGTGCCCATCGGCAGACAGATGGATAAACAAAATGTGGTGTTTTTCTACAGCGACATACCACTTGGCAGCACGGAGGAACCAGCTACTCAGAGATGCCACAACATGACGAATTCCACAGACTCACTGAGCCAGGCGGCCAGGCAGGCAGCGTGGGCCTCGGCTGCCCATCTGCAGCACCTCGGGGAGACGCAGGAAGGGGCCCGAGGGCATGCCGGGTAACTGGGTCACGGAAACCTTCTCTGTCCTGACCGGGCTGGTGGTCACACGCTCGACTTCACTGTCACAAGCCAACCAACTGTATCCCTCACCCACACTCTATGCACATGTGTGTGTGCATATTGTTTTAAGTGCTGGGGGCTGAACCCAGGGCTTCACATGTGCTAGGCGGGCTTGCTTTCTTTCTTTCTTAATGGGGTGCTACGGATGGAACCCAGGGCCACCCTCACACCACACTAAACTAGTGTATGTCTCAAATTTTTATTTTGAGACAGGGTCTCCCTGGAATGACCAGAGTGTGCCTCCATGGCCAGGTATACTGAATACTCTGTTGTATGTAAATTATGACTTAAAAAAAATTTTTTTTCTAGTCAAGAAGGAAGGGAAGGCCATTCTAGTCTAAGTGTAGCCCTGGATTCTGCTTAGCTGTCCCAACCTGTGTCCGTTTCAATGGCTGCTTTCTGCTCCCCTCTCCCTCCCGCCCGCCGCCCTGCCAGCCACTGGGCAGCCCACAGCTGGACACAGACGTGGCCTGGATATGCTGAGGCCGAGCACATAGTGGGTCACAGCTAGGGAGCCTCCAACTTTGAGGCTGGGCAGAGGCTCTGACGGCTGGATCACGGGCAGATTCTTCTCGTCTTCTGCCCGGCGTCTCTGGAGAAGCCCATTCACTTTACACACACCCATTTGTCCCCTGAGTGACTCCCCTGCTCGGGGACTGTGCCAGGTCTCGGGAATTTGGAGCTGAATCAACGGCGGGCCTACCCTTGAGGACTCTGTGGAAATGCCCAGAACATCCAGCAGGAGACAGAGGCGCAGTAATGATGTCAACAGCCGTGACAGCACCGAGCGCCTGAGAGCCCAGGTGTGCAGGCCGCACGCCTAGAATGCTCCAGGGAGACTAAGGGAGAGAAGCGAGGCACAGAGAGGTTAAGTCACTGGCCCAAAGGGAGTAAGTGCTGCGGTGGGCTTGAGCCCAGAGAGTCTGGCTCCAGTGACTTTGCCTACGACAAAGGTTTTGGAATGAGGAGTAAACTCTTTGAAACAAGAAAGGGTCAGGCAGCGTTCATCTGACGTGGGGGCCACCTCCAGGCAGAAAAGGAGGGGCCAACAGGCCCCTGAGGAGGCTGTGCGACGTGCAGCCTCTTCACTGAACCCGAGGAGCGCCAGCAGGGAGCGGAGAGGGGTCCCTCCTCCCCACCAAGATCTGCGGATTGTAGGCAGGTAGCACGAGGACAGCGGCCAGCAACCAGCAAAAGCTTCTGCCTTTGCAACCGACTTTACGGCCTGAGGAAACGGAGCCCGGGGATCCGTCACCCCTTTTCACAGACGGGAAGACCGAGTCCCTGCCCCATTTAAGTGACCCGCCCAAGGCTGTGTGGTAAGAAGCAGAACCTCCCATTCAATCCTCGGCCCAGCCTCCCCTGCTCTGCAGCCGGGGCACTCCCAGCCATTCTCTGAGCCTTAGGTACGTGAGGGCAGGTCAGCCCTGGCACCTCCCAGGCAGGCAGGGCTCCTGGGCACAGACCCACCCCACCCATCTCGGTACTCCCACACTGGGCTCGGGGCCTGGCCCACGGTGACAGTGCAGGAGTAACTGTTTGTTGGATGCGTAAATGAGAGGGGGCGGCCTCATTCTTGGCATCAGCTTCCCGGGCGAGAGGGAGGGTGGGAGGGAGGGAGGGAGGGAGGGAGGCCTGGAAGCCTCTTACAAAAGGAGCCGCCAAGGTTTGGGGGCACCTAAGATGGGTGGAGCCTACTGGGTCTGGGGCCTGGGACTCCTGCCCCTGAGAGAACCTGGGTCTGGACTGGGATCCCCTGACCACAAACAGGGAGGATAAGAATCAGGGAACCCTTGTGAGCAGTGTTTGACGTGTTGGATGCTTCTGGGGAAGAAGTCCCCTCCTATAGAGTCACAGTTACATAGGAGAGCACTGACATCTCCACGGGGAAGCAGCTGGAGGCACAGAACAGAAACCACCTTCTCTGCAAACCAGCGGAGTTGCTGAGACTCCTCTTTGTGCTTGGGCTTGGCATGACCACCTCCTTCCAGAAGCCTCCGCCCACCCTGGGGGCCTAAGTCCCCATCAGTGTTCCCATGACCCCAGATGGACCCTCAGTGGCCTCTTCATTCTCCTCCTAGACTCAACCCTCGGAAGTGCCACAGCCCTGAGGGTACAGTGGTCTGACCAGTCCCGGGGCAGAGCACACAGTAGGTGCTCAGCACGAATCCGGGAATCACGGTCGCAGCTCACCTTCTTGGTCCCGTACATGATTTCCATGAATTTCTCGTCGGCGTCCTGAAAGCGCTGGTCGAGGAAGGAGCTCGTTTTCCGCACCAGGTTCCAGATCATGTAGTTGTTCAGCAGGCTGCGGAAGAGGACGCTGGCTCAGGAATGCCCGGGGCTCCCGAACAGCCTCACCCCGGCCTCCTTCCTAGCCCACCTGGGGCTCGGCTGGCGGCTGCCTTCCATGCACATGGAATGTAACTCTCCGAGGAACACCTGGCGCTCCGCCTAGAACCCCCCAGTGTCCGGTGCAATCACTTGCATACCAGCAGTGCTCAATACATGCTGCTGCTTAGCTGCTTTGTGTCTGAAGCTGTGAAGCCGCTGCCTAGAGACTCGCCTGGTGGTGTATGCTACAGTGGGGAGGAGGCTGCCATTCTCTGCTGAAGGCCAGACAGGAAGTAGAGGCCTTAGAGCAGCAGGGGCAGGAAAGGAAGCTCTGGCCAGCCGGGTTTCATGAAGACAATTCCCATGATCCACCCACAGGGCACAGGGAACCTATCTGTGGCTGACCAACTGACCATGCTGAGTCAAGTTTGCAAAGATGTTACCTTAGTACAAAGATGTTCACTATATTCAACATCTAGCCTCAACCGGAATCACCCTGAAAGTCTGACTACGGGGGAGGGTGTGGCAAATATTGCATGTACAGCTGATGGAATACTATGCAACTATAAAAATGATCCTCACAGAGGGTTTGGGATGGCACTGGGAAATATTCATAATGAAAGGCAAGGCAAGGCTTGGAGCGGTGGTGCATGTCTGTAATCCCAGTGGCTCGGGAGGCTAAGGCAGGAGGACAGTGAGTTCAAAGCCAGCCTCAGCAACAGCAAGGCCCTAAGCAACTCAGTGAGATCCTGTCTCTAAATAAAATACAAAAAGTTTGGGGATATGGCTCAGTGGTTAAGTGCCCCTGGGTTCAATCCTCAGTACTCCTACTACTAAAATAAAAATGAAAAGTCAAGGGAAAAGTAGATTATCCATCTAGTCACATTAAGGAGAAAGAAGAACTATGGATTGGAAACCTCTCTTCCCTCACACCTTCTCTCCCTGATATGCACACACACAAACACCCCCCAAAATGACCAAGAGTAGTATTTTGAATAATTTTACATTTTTCCTATTTTCTGTATTTTTCAACATTTCTATAAGCCTTTGAAATTAAAAAAAAAACAAAAACCCGTAAGTATTAACCAAAAAATTATGGGTGGTATTGGCAGCGCCCCGTTCCATGCCAGGCACGTGTTAAAACATGAATCACTTTGTGTGACTCTCACGAATCCCCTGCTTGGTAGGTGCTATCTGCATCCCCATCTTATGGGTGACAGTATGATCCCGACAAAGGACAAGGGACATGCCCACAGCTACACAGCTGGCTGAGGGCAGCAGGATTTGAAGCTGCCCAGGGGACCAGCACCCTCTGCTGCCTCTCGGGGAAGCCCACCAGGGTGCGGCGCCCTGCGTCCGGCTGCCCTGCCCCTCCTGCCCCTTCTGCCCCTCCTGCCCAGCAGGGCTGCTGGCCTCACCATCTGACTGTGGCATTGATGAGGGCAGAGACCTGCTCCAGGTAGTCCTTGTCATAGACCACGATGGGCTCCGATGCGTTGATCTCCACGGGGTGGAAGATGGCGTTGAGGAAGGGCATCCAGTTGATGGCCGGTGCCAAGGTCTGCAAGGGAAGGGGACAGCATGAGGCTGGAGGGTGGCTTCTCCTCAGCCCCGTCTTCGGGTGTCCCTCGGAAGGTGTCATTGTGCCTCTGCCCTGGGACCATGGTGCAGATGGAGCTCCAGGCAGAGGCTGGCTGGCTAGTGAGCGCTGCTGTGGATAGCGTCCCCAGGAGCCAGAGGCAAACCTCATCTGAAGCGGAACCAGGGTGGGATGAGAGGCTGCAGCAGCAGCAGGCACATCAGCCACCACCATCACTATGCCCTTCCCATGCGGCATGTGCCACTGCCTAACTGACCAAGCAGTGGCCACAATTATCCCCATTTATAGAGGAAGACATGGAGCCTCAGACC